AAATTGATTGGTCTATATATAAGCATAAGCAAATGCATAAGGAAATGGACCAATCAATTTCCTTATGCCTATGCGTTATGCTTTATGCAAAAGTCTGTGCTCCGGCCATAAAGGTGCAGTCCCATTGAGCACGGATTGGAATGACGGATCGGATTTCTCACCAGAATTCTAGTAAATTTTTGATCCTGCTATTTCTTCCGATCGGAACGCGTATTTTTGTCTGTTTAGAACCAAGATCTATAGAGAGAAGGTTACCTCAAGAAAACCGGTTGTGAGCGAGGGACGATGAAGTAAGGAGGGAGCTAGAAACAGCTTGAAGGCGAGGGGCGATGAAGGAAGGGGAAAGCATGATGATCTCATCGACAAACAGTAGCTGTCTGAGATAGCTTCTGTTTGCCGATGAAATCATCATTGCCCCTCTTGCCGCTCGCCCCGCTCAGCATTTGCGCCTCTTGCCGCTCGTCCCTCTTTGCGCGTGAGGTAACCTTCTCTCTATAGATTTTGGTTTAGAACATCCGGAACTGTCCGGAACGATGTTAGTGTTAGTAACAAGCCAAAATAAGTGCCAAATATGACTAATAAAACTGTTTTTTATCCATCTCTGAATTTAGGATATTTTTAGTCGCATTGAGGTTAAAACTGTCTAATATAAAACTGTCTGTTACAAAATATACAAGGTGTCCCAGACTTACCGTATCACCCATTAATGGCACATTGCTGAGGTCATTTGGAGACGAAAATCTTAATACCAAAATGTCGAGGCTACTATAGTATTTGAATGGGAAAGGCTTAAAGTTTACCAATCAGCTTGTCAGAATTTCGCGCGCTCAGGGACATCGCATCTCGAAAGGACCCTTGCACAATACTTTATGTAGCAGATCATACTTCGTATCAATAGTATTGATTTTCTCTTATGACATGAGAAACGTCATTTGCAATGGCACGACTACTTTGACAGTTCGACGCGCATCGTGTTTTAATACAATTTAGAAATTATTATCGTTAGTAAATTCGTCAGTATTGCAAACAATGTAAATAAAGTAAATAAAGTGAATAATAGCTGAGTGAAGTGAATAAAACGTATTGAATAAAGTGTTGTGCAAGGGTCCTTTCGAGATGCGATGTCCTTGAGCGCGCGAAATTCTGACAAGCTGATTGGTAAACTTTAAGCTTTTCCCATTCAAATACCATAGTAGCCTCGACATTTTAGTATTAAGATTTTTCGTCTCCAAATGACCTCAGGAATCTGCCATTAATGGGTGATACGGTAAGTCTGGGACACCCTGTAGTTTACGTTTCTTGACACATGTGTCCGTTCCGTTCCGTAAAAAATTACTCTACCAGTCCTATGTAGCAAAAACGGAACGGAAATATAGTTACAAAATATATTTCACTCTAATAATTCAGTATTTTTAAGTACTCATAGGGTGCATTTGTTTATGCAGCGGTTAGCGCATCCACTGCGTTTAAGGTCATCACACACAAATAGCGTTTTCGATTATACAGGATTTGAACGACCCAAGATTGGTTAATGACGTCATTGCAACCTCTCCACCAATGAAAGACTTGCATTTATAGTAAAATAGTGATTGATCAACCCTATAGCGTTTTCGATTATACAGGATTTGAACGACCCAGGGTTGGTTAATGACGTCATTGCAACCTCTCCACCAATGAAAGACTTGCATTTATAGTAAAATAGTGATTGATCAACCCTGGGTCGTTCAAATCCTGTATAATCGAAAACGCTACTAGATCGTTCAAACCCCGTTTATTCGAAAACGCTAAAAATGACATAACTACATATCCATAGCATAAGACCGTCTCGACCAATGAACATCTAGCATAAAGGCGCCATATTGATTTACATAGCATGCTCATTGGTCGAGACGGTCTTATGCTATGCATATGCAGTTATGTCATTTTTGTGTGTGATGGCCTTAAACGCAGTGGATGCGCTAACCGCTGAATAAACGAATGCACCCATAGCAATGTAATTTGCAAGAAAATTGCAGAAATTATGTATATAATTGCTTCAACCATATTTAAATAACGAAATATTAACGTAATTAAGTACATTTACTTGTGGTCGAGGCGACATTCCGTTCCGTTTTTGCTACATGGGACTGGTAGAGAAATTTTTTATGGAACGGAACGTGAACGGAACACTCAATTCTAGTGAGAAATCCGATCCGTCATTCCAATCCGTGCTCAATGGGACTCATTGAGTAAAAAGAAATAGGAGGGAGCGTTTGGTCTTAAAAGTGCGGACGGAAGTGACTATATAAAGTGGTCGCTCAAGATGGCCGCTCAAGGGCGCCAATATTGAATGACTTGTTATGTTTAATTAGGAAATAATGTACAATTAAAAAAAAATAACTATAATATGCAACAATAATACCAAATTTTAATGGCGTTTTTCATTGGGATTGCACTCGTGCAGTATTTCCATAAGAGCAATGTTAAAATCTAAAATCTAAATTTATATTAAATCCTTCGTCCTTACAAAAATTTTATCCATGCATTTCTTTGATCCGGATTTTTCGGAAACCTGTTTGTGAGTGAAAATTATTTAGTAATTATTGTGAATCTACAATTTCACAATACTATACATATGATTATAATCTCCAAAAATAAAAATCTCATTATTGTTGATAATACTAACCGATGAAACGTTATTCCATGATTTCGAGCTGCTGCTGTTATGCCACAAAGCTCTACAGTATACCATTTTGATCGTTTATTTCCATACACTGTTGCATAAAAGACTATACACTGCATATTAATGCGTATGGCGTACGGTATGCCGCTTGCCGCTATGCTCGAGCATTCCCTCTTACTTTCAAAAAGTGGTCGCTCAAGATGGCTGCCATGACGTACATCCGTCCGCGGATTTACCTAGTCCTGGCTAGTATATGCTCCCTCCCGTTTCTTTTTACTCAATGATGGGACTGCACCCTAAGAAGAACGCACTCTATGCTCACTGTTCAGTGTACAGTGTCTACACTAGTACAGTCAGTGCAGTTAAAAAGTACATACGTAACAAACCTTATATAATAGTGGTTGTAAAAATTTTATTCTTGCTGCTTTAATTTTTGTAGATTACTGTGAAATCGTAAAAATGTCTGTTAGCAGAATAATTGTGAGTAAATATTATAATATTAAAATATCCTAAGGTAACTGTAGTATTAAAATCCTCCAGTCTTTGCAATATATGATTGAATTATATGAATGTATTTATTGTTTGTATTGATATTTTACTTACTCTGATTATTTGTCATTGATATGAATAACTTTTATTTTAGGCACGATCTTTTTCCTCGTCGGTTATCACGCAGCAACTGGTGAAGGTATTTAATTTTTGCAATTGACAAGTGATTGTATATATCTGTGCAATGTCTCTGCTCTGATATCCTATTGATTCTGACAAATCTTCTGCATTGTATTGCACACTATAAACTATATTTATTTTTACAATATTTCTTAATACTTGTAAATTAAACAATCATTTATTCATATTAATTATTTCCATGTATCAATATAGCCTCCAATTCAAGTTTTTGGGTTAGAAGGCAGATATGCAACAGCTCTTTTTTCAGCTGCATCAAAACAGAAAGCTTTGGATGCAGTGGAAAAGGATTTGGTCACCTTTCAGGTATGATAAGTATATAAATAGAAAATTGCATTGACACATCAAGCATTTATTTTATCTTCTAATGTTAATTTACGATTGTGTCTTTAGGGTCTCTTGAAAACAGATGCTAAATTAGCAGATTTTGTAAAGGATCCATCAATAAAACGGAAAGATAAAGCAGAAGCTTTTAAAACTATTGGATCTAAAGTCAGCATGAATCCAGCTACTGCAAATCTGTTGACATTACTTGCAGAAAACGGTCGATTGACAAAAATCAATCAAGTCATCAATTTATACAAATTAATTATGGCTGCTAATAGAGGAGAGGTAGTATGTGAAGTTGTTACTGCAAAACCACTTGATGCGGATACAAAGAGTAAACTTGAATCAGCTTTGAAGGGTTTTTTGAAAAAAGGTCAAACAATCTTGCTCACTACGAAAGTAGATCCTTCCATTATTGGTGGAATGTTAGTATCAATAGGCGATAAATATGTAGACATGAGTGTTGCTAGCAAAGTTAAAAGATATACTGACCTTATTCAAGCTGCAGCATAATAAAGTTCTGCAATATGAAGTAATGAAATAAATAACTCACATAGACATATTTAAATATCATGTAAAATGTTGAACAATAAATAAAATTATATAATTAATTAAATGGTATGATTTAAATACAATTGTTTTTTGTATTGTATAATTTACTGACAGGAAAATATAACTGCAATCCAACTTTGAATTGTGATTTTATTTTTTACAATTGATAAAGCATATAGTTATTTTATGCAGTTACACAAGTGATTTGTTACTCATTATTAACATAATTTGTATTTAATTTTTCATGTTTTAGTATACTTATAATGCATGATAAAGCGATGCACTTGAAATTTTACACAATGTAGACTTGTCGTATATTATATATTATTTTTGCTCTTTTAATCTCTCCTATCTACAAACAGAAATTTATACAAACTAGAAATAAACAGTTATATTTAAAATAGGTTGATTATAGTGCAAAAACATACAGTTAAGCCTAGTATCAAGGTCACTGTTAGTCATCTGATAAATTTATAATACAAGAATAATATCAATGATTACACAAAAACTTGCACAAAAACTTTTGGTTAAAAATTTACAAGATAAGAATGGGTAGTATATGTCGGAATGTTTCATAAGTATAGAACATTATGTAAAAATATTATTTGACTGTGCAAAATGTTGAATATAACATTATACACCTGAGAATTGCATTATGCGCAGATTTTCCAAAATAAAATAATTGTGTGTATGTGTCATATCTCATGCTAAGTGAAAACTTAGACAATATTTAATTAGATTAAATAACACAACAACGTGATTATATTCTATAAAATATTCAATTGGTAAAAGATATTTCTTAATTATAAACATATTAATAACATTAATTGTTATGCTAAAATTGAGACAATGACTAGTATTACCTTTAAATGTGAATAATTTTACGCGACATACAATTTTATCTGCTAATGAGAATCATTCCAATTGCATATTTTCCTAGATAAAATGCGTATTATTTCATAATTATTCATTTCAATATGTCTGATACTGTGTTCGTAATATTCCAAGTCGTGAAATATTTCACACACAAACAATATTTTTATCTTATTCAATAATTTATACATTTGATAGTAGAAATTTAATCCTTTCACCACCAATATATAGAAAAAAAGTGATTGATAGTGAAAGAGTTAATGAAGTCACTGTCGTGCATATCACGTAATTGTCTATTATTTCTGAAAAATAATATACTGATCGGCATATATACAAGAAGTGAGACAACTTCAGCATACAATTTCTCTCTTAAAATATTGAGACCGATGGTATATCATCTTTGACTAAAACCCAATCTTCCTCTTCCTCGAGAATAGCGGACGTAGCAATTTCTTTTGCCAAAGCTGTAGGCACAAGATATTCTAATATTCATAGCTGATCGTGTTGCATAAAACTATACGCGTTTTTCATAATTAATTACCTACCGTTAAATTGGTGTTCCAATCTCTCGCGATCCATCGGTGGCACTTGTCGAACGTCAACAAAATTATTACCAGCTGATGAAGGATCGTCCAATTTACTTTGCAAAAGAGTTTTTCTGCATTCTCCGAGATCTTCCAACCGTTTCAGTTCGGTACGATAACTGACATCTTCCTCTCCCGACTCGGTTTCTGTATGATCGCTCTGTTCGATATTCTCGTTCTCCTCGTTTGCATCCAACTCTCCAGCTATTGTATCATTGGAATGTACATTGCAACTGATGCACGCTGTGATATCTACATGATTGGATATATTCGAGTCATCTTCCTCGATTCGACTACTCGTCATATACTTAGACAAATCAAAGTCAAGAACATCTGCTAGCAGTTTCTCCTTGTTCTCCACATCCCGTTGAATTGTTTCTAAATCTCGATCCAACTTTAATATAAAGTCATCATCGAAACTCAATTGCATCAAAGAAGAATGAGTTGTCGTTGTTTTATTGGCATTTATGTGATCAGCGCCTAAGCTGCTCGACAAACGGTCAGTGTTGCTGAACAGTGAGATAACATTTTCGTTTTCATTTGTTTTATTCCGTGATTTCTTCTGTTTTCTTTCGGGTGTGAAAACAACGTCCTCAAATTCTTGCTGGCCAATTTTTTGAAATATCTCACGGCGATCATTATTTTTTGCATCTTCCGAATTTCGTCTAGTATCGTTATGTTCTGGTATTTTGTTTATATCCGTGATGAGCGGAGTGTTTAATTCTATCGGAATTATTGGTGGTATTTCCACAGCTTCTTCCGCGTTCGCAATTACATTGGCGTCGGTGCCAACAGCAACAGTCGGTACAATCCTGCAATATAAGTCGTTATTTTTACATATCGATTAATTTTAATTAGAATTTTAACTAGAATTTTTTTTTCAAATATTAAAAAAATTATTTTTTTTGCTTACCCTACAGATTGAATAATGTTGGTCGGATTAATTTTGGGAAAAGGAATAGCTGGTACTATACTGCTTTCTTTTAATTTCGATGTTAATTCTAGTATGCCATTAGCAACAGGTTTACTATATTCAGCAAATGATGATAGAGGATCTAGTGTATTTTTTGTGTTTCCTATAAACAGATTCAGATAATTCATCATTAACTTTTTATTTAATTAAATCTTAGAAATACAATAATTATACTCACCCAATGTAAGAATGTTACTTTCAGGATAATAGGCAATACGCAAAATATTTCTTTCTCCTTCTAATATAAATATTTCGTCTTTAGTACAAGCCACATCAGTAACGCGGCGTAGATCATTTATAATCGATGTTATTGCAATAGTGTTTGGATTTACTACATAAACTACATCATCACAGTACGTCACTAACAAATCATCACAAAATGGCAATATGATGCCGAACGAAGGTTCACCGCGATTTTTTCTCGAACCTTCGGGTGCGGGATTTAATAACGCCACTTCCGTATGACTCGATCTAACTGCATCCTTTTTTAGAAAATATTCATATTATATTCAATTTAATAAATGAAAAAGATTATCAATGATCACATTAATTGTTACATGTTACCTTCATACCTTAAATATAAGTGTTTTCAGTACAGTCCCAACCTTATCAGCTTGCCATAGGCGCAATCCTGGTCTACTTGCATAAATTATGGGTTCTTGTACATAATTTTGACGAGAACCAAATACAGCACCTAGCTTACCTAATCTAAAGCACCGACACGTTATTTTATATTTCATTAATGTTTATGCCGTAATAATACTTAAAAATACTAACGTTTTACGTTCTTTCTGGCCAACTTGTGTTACCTTCCCATTTTCATTTCTGTTCACCAAAATTGTACGTAATGTAGTTGAAACCAACAATAAACCTTGTTGATAGCTTAATTGCACTACAGAATATTTTTCATTCAATAATTTTGATGATTTAGATAAATGCTACAAAAGATTAATACAAAATGTTTATGCCTATTGAAGGAGGGAAAAATGCATCAATAGATTTTTAATAATACTACTTACCATATAAAAATCAATCTCTGTTAAGACCACTAGACCATTTTTATCTCCGCTAAATAATTTCATACCATTCTTAGACCATTCTACTGCTGTCACTGTGGCATTATGTAAACCGCTTATACTGTACCTTTCCACCTAAAATAATAACAGCTATTGTAAAAGTATTGATTTTGTGTAACAAGAGTCTGTATCTCTATAGTTTACCTGTTTTTTCTGTTTTGGTTTTAAACTATCCGGCAATGAGTCTGGTGGATTTTTAGGAATTTGAAAGACTGTAACAACACCATGTTCATTGCCAGCGGCAACCATATAATCAACTGTAGATATTATTTGTACACTTGTGATTTTGGAGTTTACATTCTGTAATGAAAAGAAAAGCATTATTTTATCAAATTAATTAAAAAATTTTTTGCAGAGAAATATGCCTGAAAAATTTTGCAACTACCTCGCAACGCAACCTTTGAAGATCCTGCTTTTCTCTGTTGAACCAGTAGATAAGCCCATGATTAGTTCCAATGGCTATAAATTCAGTCAAGGCAGCAACGCAGGTGAAACTGATATCTTGTGTAAAAATACCATTTTGTATTTTGGCAGGTATTTGTTGCAAGAGGACAGCAAGTGGTGCCCATTCCCTTAATGGTCCACCATCTTCGCACATTGGCGTAGTCATTGTTACAACTGCATCATAATAACGTTGTCATTGTAAAAATAAATTGTACGAACAAATTGTATAAAAGATTATAATATATAAAAAGTTACATATATATAACATTTAAAAATCTTTAATATACAAAAAGCGTTATGATTTAATCTTTAAGCAAATATTTAATACCATGTTATTGCAAATAATTATAAACATTTTTACATTAAATAAGTTATTTTAATACAGAAAATACCTTTGCTTCAAGGCAAGTAACAGAAAAACAAAGATGAGCCAGTTAAACGTTTTTCACTATCTTCTTCCTTTTCCTTTTTAACACTGCATGAAATTCTCATTGCGGCTAAGCATTTACGGCTGCGATGTACATACAGCATTGCATAATGCTGCGAATACATACGTGCCTATCGACATTTGCGATGGAGCGAATGCGAAAAACACACGCGCCCTCCATTCGAATTCTTTGCCGTCTTGTGTATTATGACCGGTATGTATTAGTTACGTGGTGGTTACAGCTGCACCTGAAGCGCTTACAGATTGTTCGCAGGTTTCTATTGACTACGTCTACAGTTGTTTATGCACTTGCAACACGTCAAATAAACTTTGCGATAATATTATCAGGAAAAACTTCACTTCAACGTGTATCAACACAAATAATAAAAAAAAAATAGGTGATCATGCAGTGATTCCAAGTGGAAGGATACGTTAACGTATATATCTAGACAGCATTAAATAGAGATTTTTCCTGTAATAATATTTTTGTAAAATTTGCAGTAAACTCTATGGCTTAGTTTACACCGATTATTTAGTACGCGTACCAAGTACTAAATCAGCTTCTTTGATTGGTGTAGATTTTACACTAAACGATTTATACCTATCGCAGAAGCAGATTTAGTATTTGGTATGCGTACTAAACAATCGGTGTAAACTAAGCCTATGGCTGAAGGATTGACAAGAGTGAAACTAGCACCTCTGTCGGAATAGAAGTAAAACACGGAAAAATAATTCCAATATTTCAGACACAATTACAAGAAAAACGCATAATAATTATGATCTTCATATTCAGGAGAAGTATACCGAACGACGTACAGAGTGCTTTTTTTGGAAAAATCGCAAAAAAAATTTCTTCTGTAAAAACGTGCACTTTAATTTTTTATAAAATTTTGAGAACTAGATTACACAAAATCGGATTCTATATGTCGCTATATAATTATGGTTGTTTTCCAGCAAAGGACACAAGTTGACACCAGAGAGAAGTCTGAGAGACCACGGCCAGGTTTTACGTGATCCGCGAAAGCGATAC